CATCTGTGTATCCCAGGGTTAAATCCTGCTTGGTCTGGGGAATGATCTTTCTGACGTGTTGTTGGATTCAGCTGACTAGAATTTTGTTGAGGATTTTCGCGTCTATGTTCATCAGAGAAATTGTAGTTCTCTTTCTCAGTTGCATCTTTTCCATGTTTAGAAATTAAGGTGATGCTGGATTCATAGAAAAAAATTGGGAGAATTCCTTCATTTTCAATTGTTTTAAATAACTTGAGAAGAATTGGAGTTAGCTCTTCTTTAAATGTCTGGTAGAATTCATCAGTGAAGCAATCTGGTCCTGGACTTTTCTTTGTTGGGAATGTCTATTACTGATTCAATTTCCATCTTGATTGTGGGTCTGTTTAGGTTTTCTCTGTCTTCATGGCTCAATTTAGGTTGGTTGTATGTGTCTAGGAATCTATTAATTACTTCTAGGCTTTCCAGTTTTTTAGCATACAGCTCTTTGTAGTAATTTCTGATGATTCTCTTTAGGTGTATATATGGTATCTGCTGTTACATTTCCTTTTTCATCTCTAATTTTATTGATTTGAGCCTTTTCTCTCTCTCTTTTTTTTAGGCCAATGATGTGTCAATGTTGTTTATTTTTTCAATAAAAGCCAGCTCTTCGTTTTGCTGATCTTTTGTATTTTTGGGGGGGTTTCAATTTTGTTGATTTCTTCTCTAATTTTAATTATTTCTTTTCTCCTTCTAATTTCAGGTTTGGTTTATTGTTTTTCTAGATCCTTGAGATGCATTGATAGCTCATTTATTTGGTGCCTTTCCAATTTCTCGATGTAGGTACCAGTTGCTCTAAACTTTCCTCTTAACCCTGCTTTTGCTGTATTCCATAAAATTTTATATGTTGTGTCGTTATCTTCATTTCCAGAAAATTTTTTATTTCTCTTTTCATTTCTTCTATGACCCACTGTTCATTCAGGAGCATGTTGTTCAGTCTCCATGTGTTTGCATAGGTTCTAGAGATTCCTGAGTTGTTGATTGCCAGCATCATTCCATTGTGGTAGGAGAATATGCATGGTTAGATTTCTATTTTTTTGAATTTGCTAAGACTCACTTTATGGCCTAGCATGTGGTCTATCCTAGAGAAAGTTGCATGCACGGGTGAGAAGAATGTGTGTTCTGCATCTGTAGGTTGAAGAGTTCTGTAGCTATCTGTTAGGTACATTTGGTTTATAGTGTGGATTAACTCTAAGCTGTTTCCTTGCTTTTTTCTGTCTGGTTAATCTGTCCATTACTTAAAGTGGGATATTGAATTCCCCCATACTATTGTATTTGATTCTACCTCTCCCTTTAGATCTCTTAACAATTCTTTTAAATAGCTAGGTGCCCTGTAATTGGGTGCATATACATTTATAATAATTACATCTTCCTGTTGAATTGGTCCCTTGATCATTATATAGTGCCCTTCTTTGTCTCTTTTAACAGTTTTTAACAGTTAAAGGCTATTTTGTCTGATATTAGGATGGCTACGCCACCTCTTTTTTGGTTTCTGTTAGCATGGAATATCTTTCTCCATCCTTTCACTTTCAGTCTGCATGCATCTTTGTTGGTGGGATGTGTTTCTTGTAGGCAGCAAAAAGGTGGGTTTTGTTTTTTTAATTCATTCAGCCGGTCTGTGTCTTTTAACTTGAGAGTTGAAGCCAGCTACACATTCAAGGTGACTATTGATAAGAAACGAGTTTGACAGTTTTCCAAAAATATTCTTATTTTTTACTTTGGATTTCCTTTGTGCTTCTACTGGGAGATTTTCTTCCTTTACTTTCTTTCGTAGTGATAGCCATGTTTCTGTGTGCAGCATATTCTTAAGCATCTTTTGCAGGGCTGGATGAGTGGTGACAAATTCTTTCAATTTCTGTTTGTTATGGAAGGTCTTTATTTCACCTTCAATCATAAATGAGAGCTTTGCAAGGTATAGTATTCTGGATTGACAGTTTTTTTCTCTTAAGACTTAGAATATAGCTCACCATTCTTTCTTAGCCTGTGGTGTTTCTATTGAGAAGTCTGTGAGTCTAATTGGAGATACTCTGAAATTAATCTGGTGTTTCTCTTGTGCACATTTTAGAATCTTTTCTTTATGTTTTATGGTGGTGAATTTGATTACAGTGTGTCATAGTGAAGATCTTTCCTGGTCATGTCTATTAGTTCTATGTGCTTCATGTACTTGGATGTCTCTTTCCTTCTCCAAACCTGGGAAGTTTACTGCTGGTATTTCACTAAAATGCCTTCTAATCCTTTCTCTTTCCACACCTTCAGGAACTTCTAGAACCCATATGTTGGGTTGTTTGATAATATCCTGTAGATTACCACAGTAATTTTTAGTTTTCTAATTTCTTCTTTTTTTGTCTGTTTAATTTCCTGTGCTTTGCCTTCTAAGTCAGATAGTTTTTTTCTGCTTCACTGATTCTGTTGTTAAAAATTTCCACTGCATTTTTTATTTGTTCTATCAGATTCTTCATTTCCACAATTTCATTTTAATTTCTCTAAGATCTAAATTTCGTGGGAGAAATTTTCTTTCAAGTTATGTACAGATTTCATTAGTTCATGCATTTGCTTCTGATTATTTCTATGTAATATTATTAATTTTTTTAATTCTCCTTCTGGCATTTCTTCAATTTCATCATCTTCACATTCAATATTGAAGTGCTGTGTTCTTTGGGGGCGTCATGTTGTCTTCCTTATTCTTGTTTCTTGAATTGGTGTTTGTTATTTGGCATTTGTGGAGATACTTGTTGGTTTCTTCTTTGTTTTTTCCACTGTGGTGGCTTTATCTTTATACTATGCCTCTGTAGATTATTGGAGTGTCTGCTTTCAGTGAGTACCTAGAGGCATGTGGTAGGTGTGGCCAGGGAGCTCTGTTCAGTTCTCCAGGGTGAAGGGCATGTCTAAGGTGACACACCAGGTTTGGCTTGGTAAATCTCCTCTGGTGTTTTTTTTTTTGTTTGTTTGTTTGTTTGTTTGTTTTTTTAACCAGCAATGTCCCTTAACAGGTAACCAGGGAGCCCTGAGTGTGTGGAGCCTCCCACAGTGACTGTGCAAAGTCCCAGCCACACTGTGGGTCCTCCCACACAGCCTCAGTGTTTTCACAGTCCTGGCTCACAAGCCTCCCACAGTCACGAGCACCCAGCCCCCGTCAGTTCTCCCCACCAGACTCAGAGTCCCCACTCGGCTGGTTGCTGTGCGTGGACACGAGCTGCCACAGCTATGTCCAAAATGACACCTGCTCTCAATTGGCTTGTTACAGGACACTGTTGCAGGGAGATTGGGGAGAGAGAAACGAGCCCCTCCTTTCTTTTTCTCCTCCAGTTTTGTGGGTACACTATCCCCATGGGGCTCCAAGCCAGATTCCCTCTAGGCTCTTCCTGTGGCTTTATCGCCAGTGGCTTGGGCTGCTGCAGTCTGGTCTCACCTCACCCTCCAACGCTGGTGTGTAGGCTCTTGGTTGCTGGAGTCCCAGGTTGTTTGCATCCACGCCCTCCATGTAGGTCCACTGTGTCCCTCTAATCTGCTTAGAATTTCCTCTGCTGTTTCTCCCTAGCTCTTCCCTGAGACTGCACTCTTTCCACTTTTTTTTTTTTTTAACTGTCTTCTAGACTAGAGCAGTGAGCTCCCTCCCTACTCTGCCATCTTAATCCCCCTGCTAATTTGCCAAGTTTTAAAATGCAGTCTTGTCCTAGATACTTTGTTTCTGGGCATTTTAAAATTAGGAACTCAGTTTCCTGAATAACAATAGGGCTTTCACCGCAGGACTCTGTATAAGGGGTAACATGAACAAGCTACAGAACCCAGCCTAACAACGCAGATAAAGGGGATTAGCTTCTCAAAAAACCACAAACTGCTGTAGTAACCACAAACCGAGACAGATTGTTCCGGTAGGATGAGCTTGAGTTCACAGTGGCGGGATTTTTCTGATAGACATTTGCACATTGAGATAACTGCAGTGAAGCATTTTGTATGTTATTGTAAAGTGGGACACTTCCTAGTTTAAGTAAAATCATTTGCCTCCTGTCATTTGCCCTTCTAAAAACCCGGTGTACGTTTTTGCATCTAGGACTCTGTTTTCCTTGTGTGTTTTTGTTTCTTTAGACAGAGGGAGAGGGTGAGTTCCCATCTGCTGGTTCACTCCTTCCGTACCTGCAGTGGCTGAGCCAGGTCCCCAGTCCAGGTCCCCAGAGGGGTGATGGGGGCCCCAGCACCGAGCCATCCCTGCTGCCTCTCGGAGAGAGCGTCAGCGGGAAGGAGGCGTCGGCAGCTGGGACATTCTCAGCATCGCCTTTGCCACTGGGCCAGGTGCCCACCCCTTAATTTTTTATTTTAAATCCACTTTGTTCTCAAAGCCGGACTATGTCCCGTGTTCTCATTGTCATGGAGAGTGCCGTATTCCCTTTGTCTAAAATACTTTCCAAGTATTTGTCTAAAATACTTGGAAAGTATTTCTGTCCTCGCATGGATTTTAATTTTTCAGGGCGTCGTGTTTGATCAGCACGTACCAAACGTCTCCTGCCGGCTGGCATGGTGAGCACTGTGATGCCTGCGGCTGAATACAAGGAGGGTCCAGCAGAGGCAGGGTGGGAGAGCCAGGCCAGGCCTGGGGGATGGAGCGGGAGCTGGGTCTTGACAGATGAGTAGGAGTTTGATAAGCCAGTGAAGTGAGACAGGGAATTTCTAACCGTAGGGGAAGAATAATTGGAGGTGCCGTGTGCATATAAACAAGTAGGAGTGATTTTTCAGGGTCTTTTTTTTTTTTAAATCTCTGTCATTCATCTGAGTTTTTCTGTGACTTCTAGCTTAGCTATCTGCAAATGCTCTTTGTATTTTGTAAAATAGAATTTGAAGTCTTCTTGATGGGGTTCTCCCCGGCCTTGCTAAACAGAAATCGTTTCTGCTTTGTTCCTTAATGATAAGGAACACGCTCTGAACCGTGTCGCTGCAGCGCGAGGCCGAGCGCCCACTAACCGTGAGGTCTGTGTGTGTTCTCCGTCCAGATCAAGTTCGACAGCGTGGAGGTGTGCGTCTGCTGTGAGCTGCAGCACCAGTCGTCGGGCTGCAGCAACCTCGGGGAGACGCTCAAGCTGAACCCGCTGCAGGAGAACTGCGACGCCGTGCGGCTGACCTTGAAGGTGACCCCTCTGGGCGCGCGCATGCCTCCGGGGCCTCGCAGGAGGATTTATTAGTAGACATCCCTTTCAGCTCGTAATTCATCGGAGAAGGTGCAGTGCGAGGGGTGGGGGTGGGAGAGCTTCTTGAGCCTTCTGAAGGTGTGGCTTTCCTGGATGGGATTCCATTTTTACCATTTCATTTTCCTGCTAAGTAGGCTCTGAGCGGTTGAAAAGGGTCTTTGCAAACGAGGCTGTGATGCATTGCACCGCTTCTCCGACAGACAGGTTTGCAATAGCATCAGGGAACAAGGGGGTATTTATTTTCCTTTTTAAAAGGTATTTGGACAAAGAAACCTTAAAATCTCCTGCAGCAATCGATTCTCAGGGAAAAGCGTTCGATGTTTTTTTAAAAATGACGTGAGACAATTGTTTATATTATTCCTCCTTAAAAAAATCATTTCAAGTTTTTTTAAGTTCCTGAAAACCAAAATTAGCCACTTAAACATACACGTGAACAGTTAGCCCAGTTCTGGGGGAAAACTGTGCTGGGACTTTTTGAAAAGACACCGGCATGACCAAAGGAACTCTTATCCAGTAGTAGAACTGTGTTTCCGGTATGGAGGGAGCTCTTGAATGGGTGTTGGGAATTGAGGACCCCCTGGAAGCTGGAGATAAAGGGGCGTGGCCCTCTGGAATTGCACACCCCTGAGTTGTCTCCCCTGAGCAGACAGGACCGATTGGCAAGCAGGTGAAACCCCAGAAAACAGTTTCTAATGTCCATGGCGGGGAGGGCTCAGCCCCCAGCACCTGCCTTTTCCCATGGAGCAATGGTCCATGTTCAGGGGTCTCAGCAGCCCTGCTGAGGGACAAACCCAGAAATGCAGAAGTCCTCCAGGGCCTGTTACGGTGCTAACCGCCTCTAGCTGTCTCGTGGGGCGTGTTTTTGCTGGGGCCTACACGGGGTCAGTGCCCACAGCCCACGTGGTCCCCGAGCACCCTCGGAGAGGTGTGCACAGCCTTCCTCACCCCGAGGAAGTCTGACAGCTGCTCAGTCACCTCTTCCACGGGGCCGTTTTCTTTCCTTACAGCAGCCCTCCCCTTATCCACTCTGGCCTTTCCAGTTCCGTTAGCCCACAGTCAGCGGCACTCTGAAAATACTGGACGGGAAGTTCCAGAGAGAAAGTTTGTAAATGTGAAATAGATTGTTCTATTTGTTGCTTTCACTACCATTCATTAGTGTTCATCTCTCACTGTGCCTGGTTTATAAATTAAACTGTCCCAGGTATGTATGCGTAGGACAAAACGCGGGATAGGTAGGGTTTGGTTCTCCGTGGTTTCAGATACGCACTGGACTGGGGTGTCTTGGAGGGCCTCCCCTTGGGTAAAGGGATGGGTCTGTGTTTACCAAACAGAGCAAGACAGTGGATGGTGATGATGACAGTGCAGCCACTCAGTCCTTGGAAAAGCTCACAGATCCACCAGGGCACCTTACGACTCTGGAGCCACTGCGTGTGGGATGCAGTGGAGGTTGTGAGAGGCCTCCCGCCCCTGCTTGTTGGGGTGGGGTATTTCCCACGCTCCCCCGAGGCCTGCGCTTCTCCCTGACGCCTGGACTCAGTGCCACCTAGGAACCGATTCCAGACACTGCTGTTTCTAAGGGTGCAGACTCGGGTGAGGGTGCTTGGTGACCTGTGGTCTCGCCCTTCCCCACACTGTAAGTGCTGGACAAGAAAACCTGTTGGAAGAGGGTAGCCACAATGGCACAAAGACGAAGACGTTGGAGGGAAGGTGTCCCAGTCAAGACGGGGGGCCGTGGCTGAATGGCTCAACCCAGCTGCCAAGGACAATGGTAAGAGTTGAGGCAGAAGGGAGACTACACCAAACCTCTCATCAGTGTGTGTACCAGAGCTCGGGACTGTCGCAGCTGTGGCATGCGGCTGAAGGAAGCGGGATTATGGTTGAGGGGGAGTCCAGTCCAGTGGTGTGGAAGCAGCAGCAGTGGCTTAGCTGTTAGGGGAGGGGGCAGCTTGTCTCTGCCCCCTGAGCATCTGTGCAGGAGGCGGTGGCCCTGGAGGGCAGGGTGCTGAGTTCATCTGAGGTCAGGAAGACGGGCACTTTTGCAAGTGAGCGTCTGTTCATTGCCGCCCTCCGGCCTTCTTGTGCTGCGCAGTTGTCTTGGCTATCCTGGTTCCTTTGCATTTCCACACAGGTTTTAGAATTGGCTTCTCTTTTTTGAAAGGCAGAGTTAGAGAAGAGGAGATACAGAGGGGGAGAGAGATCTTCCATCTGCTGGTTCATTCCCCAAATGGCCACATGGGCCAGGGCTGGGGCAGGCTGAAGCCAGGAACCTGGTGCTTTTTCCAGGTCTCCCACATGGGTGCTGGGGCCCAAGCACTTGGGCCATCCTCTACAGCTTTCCCAGGCACACGAGCAGGGAGCTGGATCGGAAGTGGAGCAGCCGGATATGGAACTGCTGCCCCTTTGGGATGCAGGCATCGAAGGTGGAGGTGAACCCTGCTATGCCACAACATCATCTCCAAGACTCAGCTTCTCAATTTCTGTGAAAACCCAGCTGGTACTGTGATGGAGAGTACATGGAATCTGCACATTATTTTGACTAGAATTAGCATAGTCACAGTATAGGCTCCATTTATTTATGTCTTTTGCTTCACCAACAGTTCTTTTTTATCACCAGTGTTGTGTAGTTTTCAGTACATAGATCTTAACATATTTTGTAATGTGTATTTTTAACTTATTTTACATTTATTGGTGTTATTTTAATGGTACTTTAAAATTGTCTCTTGGTCATAAGTAGGCTATAAAAGTTGATCTAGGTAAACTCACTGATTTATTTTAGTAGCTCTTTTGCATATTCTTTTTTTAAAAGATTTATTTATTTATTTGAAAGTCAGAGTTACAGAGAGAGAGGAGAAGCGAGAGGGGCAGGTGTCTTCCATCCTATGGTTCACTCCCCAATTGGTTGCAAAGGACAGAACTGTGCCAATCCGAAGCCAGGAGCCGGGAGCTTCTTCCAGGTCTCCCACATGAGTGCAGAGGTCAAAAGACTTGGGCCATCTTCTACTGCTTTCCCAGGCCATAGCAGAGACTGGATTGGAAGTGGAGCAGCCCGGTCTTGAACTGGTGCCTGTATGGGATGCCAGCGCTTTAGGCCAGGGCATTAACCCGCTGCGCCACAGCGCTGGCCCCCTTTTATATATTCTTGTGGATTTTTACTTAGATAATCGTGTGATAAGCAAATACAGGCAATTTTATATCTTCATTCCATAGTACTCAAGTGTAGAAACAGAGAACCAAAAAGAGACAGAGACCATTAGATACAGATGCATGAAAGTTATTTATTAGAGGAATTGGCTCCCATGTTTAAGGAGACGGCGATGCCCCCTCATCTGCTGTGCACAGACTGGAGACCTTTGGATGCTGTGGTGTGGTTCAGTCCAGGTCTGAACGCCTGAGAATCAGGGGCTTGTGGTGCAGCTTGCAGGCCAAGGTCAAAGGCCTGGAAGCCTGGCGTGGGAGCCCCTGGTGTGAGTCCCAGAGTCGAACGCGTTGAGAGCCTGGAGCTGATCTGCGGGGGAGGGAGAGCAATCATGTTCCAGCTCTAGGAGAGAGGGGAAACCTAACCCACCCTCTTTTTGTTCTCTCTGGGCTCCCAGCCAATTGCATGGTGTCTGCCCTCCTTGGGGGGACGGTGCCTGCCTTCCCGCTCATCCACCAGCTCACACATCCATGTCCTCTGGAAGCATCCAGACACACCCAGAAATTATGTGTTACCAGTTCTCCAGTAAGGTGGTACTTGAAATTAGCCATCACACATTCTAGTCTGTGTGCCTCTGAGTTCTTTTTTATTTATTTATTTATTTATTTGAAAGAGTTTTAGAGAGAAAAGGGAGGAAGGAGGGAGAGGGGGAGAGAGAGATTGAGGTCTCCCACCCACTTCACTTCCCAGATGGCTACAACAGCTGGGACTGGGCCAGGCCACAGCCAGGAGTCGGGAGCTTCTTCCAGGTCTCCCACATGAGTAGCAGAGCTCAATCACTTGGGTCGTCTTCGGCTGCTTTCCCGTGTCATTAGCGTGGAGCTGGATCGGAAGTGGAGCAGCCGGGACTTGAACCAGCGCCCATACAGGATGCAGGCGTTGCAGGTGGCTTCTTTACCCGCTATGCCACAGCGCCAGCCCCACCCCCACCACTGACTGGAACCTCAGGCACAGTGTTGAACATGTGTGGAGAGAGCATACCTTCGTGTCCTGTTCCTGATTTTAGGGATTAATTGTACTAAGAACTGTAGGTTTTTCATAGATGCCCATTATCAGGTTGTGGAAGTTCGTTGAGTTTCTACTGTAGTAGATGTTGGATTTTGTCAGGGTCTTTCTCTGCATCTGCTTAGCTGTTCCTACACAAAGTCAGCCTAATAGTTTCTCCCTTTTAGGTATGTGGTGGTCATTAGCACTGTTTTAAAGTATTTCTAGGGGCCGGCACCGTGGGGCACTAGGTTAATCCTCCGCCTGTGGCGCCGGTATCCCATATGGGCGCTGGTTCTAGTCCCGGTTGCTCCTCTTCCAGTCCAGCTCTCTGCTGTGGCCCGGGAAGGCAGCGGAGGATGGTCCAAGTGCTTGGGCCCCTGTATCCGCTTGGGAGACCAGGAAGAAACACCTGGCTCCTGGCTTTGGATCGGCGTAGCTCTGTCCGTTGTGGCCATTTGGGGAGTGAACCAACAGAAGGAAGACCTTTCTCTCTGTCTCTCCCTGTCTCTCTCTGTAACTCTACCTCTCAAAGTATTTTTTAAAAAAAATTTCTAACGCTGCACTCTCCCCTCACATACTAAGGTGGTACTTCCTAGCCCCCTTGTGGTTGCCGAAGGCCATGTGAACAAAACCTCTCCGTACTTCTCCCACACTGGAGTATCTGCTATGGTGTGAGAGTATGCAGAGCTGTGTTTCTCTGTGGCGCAGTAACTGGCAAATCATAGACGGTGGCTGCACCCCCAGCCTGAGGCACTGC